TCAATACATTCATCGCTCCGCTCAGAATCTAAAATTCATCTCCTTTTGCTCTGTACTTGAGAATACCACGGAAATGGCCTTGCCTTGAGTCATCTAAAAAAATAAAAGTTAAAAGTTGCAAACAATAATAACATTTTTTACAATAATAATTGTAAATCCATAATTAGTAGGACTGGAGCATTATTGTCCAATAGTTATATGACATTGATAATTCACCTTAATTATACTAAAGTGTTATTATTATTAAATGGTAGAAGTTTATACAATTTAGATTTTAATTTCTATATTTATGCTTACCATCTACTAAGATATCACCAAAATCTCTAAGTCCTCTCAAAGCCAACTCTTCTTTACCACATAGAATTATACACTCAATAATTGGTCTTATTCTCCTTCTATTTTCTTCAATTTGTACCATTCTATACAAATTCACAGAATCAATATACTTTAATAATTTAAACTTTAATGTAAGGGTTATCATAATATTATTATGCATTTAATATTACTTACCTATTATTGTCTATGCGTTCTATTATAGACAGTTCCTTTTTTTCTATTACTTTTAAAAAGTGCTCAGAGTCTAGAACAGACAATGTATGATATTTCAAACTTCCATGAGCCCGAAAAGTCTAAAAAAAAAATGTATTAAATATTTAAGCAATTATCTCTGGAATAAATCATTTAAATTATCAAACCTCTTTTGCCTTCTTCCAGTTGCTGAAAGCAACAGTAACAAGGCTACCCAAAGGCTGGCTTCCAATACCACCATTTTTAGCAAACAATACACAGTATTTACAGAATGTCCCATTTTTAACATTTGAATATGCCAGCCAATTAAATTCTTTTAACAATTTATGCTGAAATCTTAAGCCACGTTTTTCATTTTTTGCAAGCAATGGGAATTTATATTTAACATCTGATACCCATAGATTAGTTAGCACCTTGAATAAATATAATTTTAAATAATTAGTTTTAATAAATATTATAGAATTAAATTTAAAATATAGACATTAAATAAAAATAAATATGCATAATTTAAAAAAATACTAACTCATTAAATATTAATATATTTAGTGTTGAAATAATTTATCAACTAGTATGTAACTTACAAGCTTTTTATCAGCATCTGTTAAAGATAGGCATTCTACAAAATAACCTATGTCATTAGCATTGTTGAGCGTTTGATTATTTTCACAAATAAAATCATCCTTTAATAAGTRATTGAAACATATTATTATATTAATGCCACAACAATAACTAGAATATATTTTAAAAAATTTAAGCCAAATTATTAAATTGTATTTGTTTCCATATGTCAAGTAAAACATGCTATTTGAAGCTAATAAATATATAATATWATGCCAAAACTTAATAATTTAAGTGAGTTATAAATTTATAAGCTGTGACCACTGATCGTGAAAGCATATAAACCTATATAAGCATAACTAATTTAGTTTTTTTTTTTAAGAATAACAATGCAAACACATTTGAACAATTAACTTTTTTTATATTCAATGATATAATTAATTACTTGCTGTGATTGTGAATTTGATGCCTCACTAAAACTTTCTAAAGAATTTGTGGTACCTGCAGACTTATTTACTTCTGTAATGTTTCTTACCGGTGAGTTCACCTAAATATCACAATAATTTGAATTTACATTTCAACTTACTTTCAGCACTTACTTCAGTCTCGTTATTTTCATTTTCTCTTCGAATTTTTTTGTTGCTTGTGAAGAATGATAACAAGGTATTCTTTTTTGATGTCATTGAAAAAGTAGGTAAATTATATCGAAAAATAAAAAYATATAAAATATATAAATAAAGTAAATTTGACTATAAAATATCACTTTCAATCACAAAAATTATATAATAATTTTTAAATCGTGGTTTCAATACTTAATGCATAATCATTTGAGCAATGAAGTATAAACAGAACACCGAGTAGTATGCATAGATAATAATCATCATAACCAATTATTACTGTGTAGAATATTATTTCATATTATCAAAATATCGTACATTTGTTTATGATCTAATAATAGAATACAGGACACTGGATACAAATCAGTAACAAACGTTATCATTTGGTCCACTGAGATAAGAGATTGTGTATAATTTTGCCTATATTCGCTCCTTATTAATTATAATATCAGATTTCATACATCGTTAGTTGTGATTTGTGATTACTGATTACAGTAAAGTTGTGGACTGTGGTACAGAGTACAGACATATACTAGTATATACTATATAGGTAATTAAGGTCTATGGGTACAGACTAAAAAAAAAAAAGGCCAAGGGGGGGATCTATACCCCATACCCCCCCCCATAAATACGCCACTGGAGTATTGTGGTGGTTCACGGTTCCATTATTATGGAACCTTGCCTCATCAGTCCATAAAATTTTTTCCAAAATAGTGGGATCATCTTCTAGCTGAACCATCATATGAGCAACAAAAGTAATACGACGTTCACAATCTGTTGGCTGGAGTTGCTGAACACGAGTCGATAAGTAAGCATGATATTTATACATTTTAGAAATTTTTTGAACAGCAGAATATGATAAATTTAAATCTTCTAAAAAAATATAAAATTATTGAAAATGTATATTATATTATTGTTTATTAAAATGTATTTATTTTTTAGGTTTACTTGCTACAACTCTCAATGATATATGCGGGCTTTCAATCAATTTGCATAATACTTCCAATGAATTATTATCAGTTGTCACAGTATTTCGTCTTTTTTTTTTTTGCAATAAATGTACCATTCATACTGAGTTGTTTATTAATTCTATAAAACATTAAATGACCTGGACACTGGCGATCAGCATAACGCTGCTGATACAACCTATAAATGCATATTATACTTATTTTTCTCATTAAACTGTATTTAATTTTATAAGAAGTACATACCTATTTTGTATGTAAAATATAAGTGTGAAATCGTAATGAAGTTTTTTTATATTAACTTGGAAAACGAGTTGCCTATTTATTTGTATGTTGTAATTTTTACATTTTGTTTTTAACTTACCTGATTTTTCTATTCTTAAATTGTATAGGTATACAAATATTGTTAATATCCATATTTTGTTGTAAACATTTACATTATAATGTATRATTGAACACTTAGGTGATTCAAGTTAATAAAAAATAAATAAAAATTATATGTTTAAGTTTATTATCTCTCTCGGGGAGAGGCGAAGAAGAGTGGGATGGTCCGGGGAGWGGCGAAGAAGAGTGGGATGGTCCGGGGAGAGGCGAAGAGTGAGATGGGGGAGGGG